ATGAAATGAACTGTCCATGACAGGTCTTCACTTTGGCAGTGGTTTGAGAAATGTTGGGGCAAATGAGGAATGTAAACCAGAACGGATCTGAGGTGTGAGAAGACAGAGGAGGCAAAAGGTAAGAAACAGAAGGAAAATGCACATATATTAAGAGGTTAAACCATGTGAAATGATCATTTGTGTAGATAAAAATGGAATATCAGCAATTTCATAGTTTAATAAAACAAGACTTGATGTGATCTCATGATGTACTTTCAGAAATAAATAAGCTAAGTTATTGATTATCATTAGTTATTGATTCATTTAGTCACTTATTTATTTATCTAATACCCTGCTTCCCTCAATGACTTATTTAGCACCTATTATGTGTCAAGTTACTGTTCGAGGCACTGGTATTCAGTAGTAAGCAAGACATCCAAAAATCTCTGCCCTCATACAACTGACAGTCTAGTTGAAAAGTATAGACAACAAAGTGGTGAATATATTTACATGTATATTTATATACACTATGTAATATGTAAATACATACAATATTATACATTAATATAGTATATACATGAACATACAGTATTATTATCATAGTGTTACATATTTATTTCATACATATATATACACAGTTAGATAATAATATGCATTATGAAGAAAAATAAGCAGGAGCCAGGAATAGGTGCATGCCTGTTTTCCCACCACTCGAGAGGTTGAGGTAGGAGGATCAATGAGCTAAAGGCCAACCAGAGCTACATAGTGAGTTCAAGGCCAGTCTGAAGCACATAGTGAAACACTGTCTAAGAAAGAAAGGAAGGAAGAAAGGAGAGAAGAAAGAGAGAGAGAGAGGAAGGAAGGAAGGAAGGAAGGAAGGAAGGAAGGAAGGAAAAATAGTGCAGGAAGTATAGTGTACAGTTTTAGATAAGGTGATTAAGAAAGTCTTTGTTGGTAAGTTAGCCTTTGAGCCAAGACATAAAGGAGACAATGGACCAATCCAGGAGGATATTGTAAGAAGTAAGAATGGGGGAAGAGAAAAACATCAAGGTGACAGAAATGGAATGACCAAAGGGGAGAGTAATAAGTGAAGTACAAAATGGAATAGGATTCTTGTCCTTTAGGGTGTTGTAAGCTTTTGGCTTTTATACTAAGGGATAAGGAAGGCACTGCAGGGCTTTGGGAAGACAATTGTGCTTTGAATCACATCTTTAAAGAATCACTTTGGCTATTCTGTTAAGAAGAGATTGCATTGGAGCAACTATGAAAGCAGGGGGTCCAGTTACACAACTGTTACCATAACAGGAGAGAGGCGAGAGGGCTGTAGTGATGGCTGCGGTGAGAAGTGGTCAGATTTGAGGCATATTTTGAGAATAGATTGAACAAGGGTTGCTGGAGGATTGAATGAGGCATGTGAGAAACACAGAAAGGACATGGAAGACTCTGATATTTTTAGACAAAACAACAAGAAGAATAAAACTGAAAGTGTTGAATAAGGGAAACTAGCTGGGGATGGTGATGCATGCCTGTCATCTCAGCATGCTGGGAGGCTGAGGCAGGTGGATCACAAGTTCAAGTCCAGGCAACTTAGTAATTTAGCAAGACTCTCTCTCAAAATTAAAAAAAAAATACAAAAGGGCGGGGGGATGTACCTTAGTGCAAAGGCCTGTGTTCAATACCAGTTCTGCAATATGTTGTTAGTCCAAATGTTAACATATTTATTTCTCAAATGAACAGGAATTATAACAACTGACTGCCAAGTGTTGTATAAGAATAAGCAAAGGTAGAATTTGATCCAACTCACTTTGCATATTAATGACACAATTTGGAAACCATTGCATTTAAAAAGCTATAAATGTATTATTCATTTTATCCTAATGTATATGAGAAATCAAATTTGACTTATTTCTAATTTTTTAAAATTCATAAGCTGATATGTGGAGTTCAGTCATGCAGGACTGTAATTTGCTACTCTTATTTTCTCTTCACTTTTTAAAAATTTTAGCTTCTCCCACGGTGAATGTAATCTCTATGTGCTGCAAACATGTACTACTAATAATAAAATTTAAAAAAATAAATAAAGTTCAAGGTCTTTGACTCTCTGGTGGCAGAAAAAATATGTTCAGTGTTCCAGAAGCATATACATCATCCTGTTTCATTTCACAGAGTCTCAGAGAAGTCAAGATCTATGCCTGGGACACCCAGAACATAAGTTGTGTATAAGTGGTGTTAAACATAAATTATGGGAGATTGTTGTTTTGGACTGAGCTCTTGCACTAGGCCTCAACAGACCAGACCAAACCAAAATGGAGTCACTCCTGCTAAATACTACAGAATCAAATCAGTACTTTAAAGAAGCAGATAGCTCCCAAAACAGACCAGATTTTTTCTGAAAACAGGCACCAGTCTACCTAAGTCAGTGTTATAAGGAAGTCCTCTCTGTTTTAACCCTCACAAAATAGTAATACAAAGTAAACTGATGTTAATCAATTAGTTATTTCCCCCCATTGTTCTGTTCCCTTGTTCCCAACTTACAAAACCCACCATTATGCTACTGCCCAGCAGGAGCTCCCATTCTCTTTTGTAGAGTGGAGGCCATTCTGATTCATGAATCACAAACAAAAGTCAATGTGAACCATAATTAAATTTGTTGTAATTTTATCTTCTGACACAGTAATCATTATTACTATGGCTCAGGGACAGTGAATATGTGAAGCAAAAATATAGTTAGAACGGTGTGTCATTATTTCTGTGACTGAACTGGACAACCTGGGCATTTTATCACATCTATCACTTGTTTCAGCAGCCTTTAGGTAAGCAATAAAAAGACTTGAGATTTCAATTAGCAGGAGAAATTCTGTTGTGGCCAAAAGAACAAAAACAGGAATGAGGGAAAGGGTACAGTTCAGAATAAGGATGAATTTTTTTAAAGGAGGATAAGAAAGGACAAACAAGGCATACCACCTGTTATGGCTTGTATTTCGATGTCCCCCTAAAACCTCATGCAGAAGTAGGGCTTTCTTTTTCAGAGGTGGCTGAATCTAGAATGTGTGATGCTGGGATTAAGGGCATATGATTACTAAACCACTACACGTGAGTGATTGGTTTAGCACCACCCTAGTCCTCAGTAGTCTGAATGGGATAAAAGGGGGAGAAGACATCATTAAAATCTCTGTTGCTTTGCTACTGTCTGTCGGCCATGAACTGTTGCTCCTCTGCCACCCTGGCTTGGAACCAGCTGATTATGGACTAAAACCTCTATGAACTATAAGCCAAATAAACCTTTTCCTCTTTAATTTTGGATGTCAGGTATTTTGTCTCAGCAAGAGAAAAGTGACTAAGACAAAATTTGGTACCAAAGAAGTGGGGTCATTGCTGTGACATTAACAGGCCATGTGGCTCAAGAACTTTTGGAACTGGCTTGTGGAAAGAGGAAGAGTTAAGAAAGGTTTGGAGATGCTGGCTAAAGAAGTAGAGCTAGAATACCTTAGGCTTTATTGCATGGGAGATTCTGGCCAGAACTCAGAAGACCAGAAACCCTGTAAAGACCAGGCTCAGGGGGTTTCTGCTGGGAAGAAGGACTGCATTGGCCAGTGGACTCCAGACGATGTGTGTTATGCCTTGGCAGAAAGTTTCTATTTTGCTCATATCCAGAGACTTTGATGAGACCAAGATTAAGGGTGGGGAACTAATAAATTTGGCAGATGGAATTTCAAAGCAGTCTATTGTTGAGGCCACAGCAAGGCTGCTGTTGGGGGCTGTTAGCCAGATCTTTGTTGAGAATCAAGAGCAAAGAGCCCAGCAGAATGATTTAAAACATTTCGAGTTTGACCAGAAAGGAAGGTCCCCTAAAGTTGTGGCCTGCAAAGACAGAACAGAGGAGATCTTGACTGCAGAGAAGGAACAGAATAGACAATATGGCCTGAGGGCATCACAACAAGCAGCAGGACTCTATCCTTTGCAGCCTCAAAATTTCACAAGTGAAAGATTTTACTCTGAGAAGAGAGACCCAGAGCACCATGTTCCAGAATGGCAGCAACCTAGGAAAGTTGTTCCTGGGGATTTGGTTCATAGGCACTGGACCCCTACCACCAAGAGCAAGGGAAGGATGGCTACTCCTCCAGCTGGCAGCAGACCTTGGCATCATCCACGTGGTGCTGGTTTAAGGTGCATGCAGATTGGAAGAGTTCTTGGGTCAGGAAGGCTTCCACCTAGATTTCAGACGAAGGCCTGGGAGGCCAGGCAGTGTGCCCCTGAGAGGGCAGTGTGTGAAGCTGTGAGTGTGAAGCTGACAGTGCAGTGGAGACCCCAGAAGTTTGGAGAATCCAGGAGTGTGGATTGTTGAGGAAAACTGTAAGGAGGGAGCAGAGCCTGCCCAAGAGAGAAGCCATGAGAGCTAAAACCACTGGCAGTCCCATAGGGGTGGAGCCACCCAAGCCCTTTGAAGTTTACAACTTGCCACAGATTGCAGGGCATGCTGGAAGTGGAACTGTGGGATTTTATGTTTGCCCTGCTGGATTTTGGACTTGCTTTGGTCCCATTCTTTTGTAGCCCACTATTTATTTCCCCCTATTTGTTATCCTCCCATTCCCCTATTTGGAATGGTACTGTCTATCATTTGTCATTGAATGTTGGAAGTGTTTAACTTTCTTTCATTTGTAAAGGGACTTGTAGCTAGGAATCTGCCTTAAACCTAAGAGGAGACTTTGGACTTGGACTTTTCAGCAATGCTGAAACTGTTAGGACTTTGGCAACTTTAAGAGATGGACTAAGTGCCTTTTGCATAAGGGGATGTCCATGAGTCTGTAGGGGCCAGGGGTGGAATATTATGGCTTGTGTTTAGATGTCCCCCCAAAGACTCATGCGGATGAAATGGGGCTTTCTTTTAAAGAAGTGGCTGAATCTTTTAAGTGTGATGCTGATTAAGGGTGTGTGATTACTAAACCACTACACATGAGTGATTGGTTGGCACCACCCTAATCCTCAGTAGTCTGGATGAGATAAAAGGGGGAGAAGACACTGTTAAGGTCTCTGTTGCTTTGCTACTGTCAGCCCACCATGAACTGTTGCCCCTCTTTCAACCTGCTTTTGCCAGCCAATTATCAACTGAAACCTCTACAAACTGTAAGCCAAATAAACCTTTTCTCCTTTAACTTTGGATGTTGAGTATTTTATATCAGCAATAAGAAGGACACCCCCCACCCCGTTTGGCTTTTTGTTTACTATATATTCCCCGACTTCTTGTTTTGTAGCCACTCTTATGCTGGATAGTTTTCAGAGTTGGATTAGACTGACTTTGTGACTTCTGTCCCTTCATTCCCCTCCCATCCAATTAATCTAAACATGATTTTGTTCTAAGTAAAAAATGAGAAGAAGTAACTGGTGGGACTGTTAATAGTTAGCTCCATTATGACCTCAAGGTTACTAGGGATTCATTCCCTCCGACTCCTTAGAACGACACAAAGTCCCTACTCAGCCAGAAAAGAAGAAAAAACCCGCAGTCTTGGGCCTGACTCTCTATGAAAGAATTGAATGTTTGAATAGGGAAAGCTGGTATTTTTAAATTAAATTATCCAGATAATTATGCAATTCTTTATATCATTCCACTAATATGGACATAGAATGAGCTACACAGACTGTCTACAATCCTAACTTTATTCCACTTAGGTACAACTGCTGAGTTTTCCTATGTCCTTTTTTAGTGGCTAGTTTTGAAAGAAAGACAAGGAGGCTGGAGAGAAAGAGGAAGGATGAGTAATTTGATCATCACAAACCCTAGACTCCTGTTAAAAAGTATTTGTACTTTAAAAAAATCTTTTTTTGCCGAAAGCTTTTTCAGGAGAAATAAATTATACTGACTCTATATAAATAAAAGCAGAAGGAGCAAAGACGAACATGAACATATATTACCAATGTCATTCATCAAATATAGTTGACACTTCAATCTAATCCAGCAAATGAAAATACAGAAGTTTATAGAGTTATAGGAAGTAAGCAATTTAAACATACCAGGGCACAAGGTCATCTAACAACACAACTAGGAAGATGTTCCTTTTTCTTTTCTCTTTTTCTCTCTTTAATGCTTTTGAAGCTCTCAAATACTGATGATAATCCATCTTTCTCACAGGGTGAAGTGATCTTTATATCAGATAATGAATAGCAGCAGTCTAAATGTTCCTTAACAAGTCCACCTTCCTCTAATGTCATAAAATAAAAGGACACATCATGCATTTCATACTATCATTATGGTGCAAGGTTTCTCTTTCCATAATAAAGTAATACATTTCTTAACTAATTAGTTCATTAATTTTAAATGTGATTCCCAGGTAAAAACTCTTTGAGATAGTTAATCTTCTTAAAAGTCTATGAGAATGTTAAAAACACTTCTCAGAGCATTGTCACCACCAATCATTAATGGACTGAATGGGTAAGGAAATACAGAGCTGAAAAACACATCTCATTTGTTTTTTAAATTAATTTTATTGGTATATTTTAGGTATACAATATAATGACATTCAT